CTGCTTCCTCTTGCGAGCTCTCTACCCCAACAAGCCTTTGTTGGCCATGGTAGAGTTCCTCCATGCTCGCTTCAAAACAAGAGCCAAACAAAACCAACATGAGACTCCATGCTCATCAATCATAACACACAAAACCATCCTACTTTTTGGTCCATCATGCACCAACTCATAGTGTTTTTCCATGTAACTTATTACGTGATTTGCAGAGGTCATATATCACCACCTACAAGAGACAAACAAACATATGCGAAACACCACGACGCTACAACATCGGTTTTCGGAAGCAAAAGGCCAAGCACGTAGAGTGCATCGAAAAACATCGAAATGGTGCACCACCAAATACGGGGGGAAAGAAAAAAGATATAAGAGGAGGGGGGGCGTAGACGTACAGTTTCTCCTCGCGAGCGAGGACGAGGGGATCGTCATTCTTGATGTCGTAAGGGTACCACTGGGCGACCTTGTCTCCGATGAGCTTCTTCCGGAGGATCTTGTGAGGGGACCGCTTCCCCAAAGGATTCAGGACGTGTCCGAAGATCCTGGCCAGCGCCACCCCCTGCAGCGCCGCCGCCGTCAACAGGCTCATCCCCCCTGCCTTGGCTTGCCCTTCCGAATGTGCTTCCGGCCACCTAAACCCACACGCCCCCTTCGCCGACCGTCGTCTACGGGCCACCCTAAATTTGTGGGCCCAACACTCCTTGCCCTTTCGCCCATTAAGATCCCTAAGACCCAGTCGCCCGTTAAGTTAAATATTAGGAACGAATCCACATCGGACCAGAACCAATAAGAGACAAACATGAATCCGACCCGAACGATTTCCAGTTTCAAGTTATTGATTTGATCCAATATTTATGTTCGGATTACGGACTCTTTGTTGTGCTCCGGTCGACCCCTACCAACTACAAGCGAGTGGAAGAAACCATTACAAAATGTTTATTATACCTTTCATATTTGTCTTACCCGCTTTGCTACTTACTTGCCTGTTAATTAGACGCAGCAGAGGACCCACGGGTGGACCCTCATTGCTCCACTGTGGCATGTAAAAGCATCAGGCAAACAGGCGAGCGGGTAAGCCGCCTGAGCGTTTTCGTTCCATGTAACACAACATTATAGAAGATGTGAATAGAGAGGAGCGGAGGTAGATGATGAATAGTACCAACTCCGCCCTCTAATCTGAAAAGAACAAACGAGTTAAATACTCACAAACATCCTTGGCATGTTTACATGAAGTCATGTGTGCTTTGCACTTTTACTGTCCCAACTCAAGCAGCGAAAGACTTCAACATTTATTCTTCGGCAGCTCCAAGTTACTTGCAGATGTGTTTTTTGAGATGGACCTCAACTATAAAGCAGATGAATCCAATCTCTTTCCTGAGCACCGTGCAGAGAAGGAAACATTACACCGGTGCAGCCGCTTCCCGCTTTCTGCCCCACCTGGGAGTGGTCTCGATGAGCTGATGAGGGAAGAGCTGCCTCTCCCGCCTCGTCAGCTTCTTGAAGTTGCTGACCCGCAGCTTGGCGATCTTCGCCTCCTCTTCTGGGGTGGTTTCTCTCACCACCACCGTCAGGCGACATTTGGGTCTCACCATGATCCCACTCCTCCCTTTGGCATGGTAGGATATCCGCTTCAGATGCACACCCTTCCCGACGAAGGCTTCGTCTATCGCACCACCGCAGCAGCAAATGTGAGACAGGCAGCTAATTGTCTCCCCTCTCACCCCAAAAAAACATCTCAAAGCATTCACTTACCAACAAGAAGACGATCTGGGTTCAGTCCATGATTATGAGCTGCATTAGCTCGGGCTGAATGTATCACCTGCAATACATACAAGAATGCAGTGGTTCTGAAATAGGCTGCAATTTATAGATAATAAGCTCACATATCAGAAACATTCCCAATATTCAAAGAATGCAATTACAATCGACAACTGAATCAAATTTTTGTTCCTGCAAGACACGAGGTGATGCTTTGTGATACCTGATAGACGGTCTTTGCAGCTCGTTTGACAGTTACTTGCAGTTGCAACAGAGCATCTTCAACACGCATTCCACGTACTAGTTTAGCAACCAGATTAACCTTCTTGGGACTCTGACATCAACATATCCAATAAGAGATGAATGATAAAATCAAAAACCCAAAGGGTGCAATGAACAAGGCATTTGAGCAAATGTTTTAATCAATACTAGAAAAACTGATTTTGGAGCATGTTCAAACCAAATTTTCAAACCTTGTACCGTTTACGCAGAGATAAGGCCTGTATTTAAGGTCAAGCATGAAGTAAACTGAATCGTCTTGCATAGATGGGCTGATCTCAAAGGGTTTATATCTTAAAAAGAGTACGAGCACTCATGCAGTGCAGCTTTTCTGAGCAACTAGCAACTATGAAACCACAACTGCACAAAAGGTGCTATGGATAAAGTATACCTGTCTTATATCTTTCTTAATAGCTTGAACCCTCAATGGTTTTGATAGTCCATCCTTTTTTCCAGTCTTCATAGGATCCCCCATAAGTGGTGTCAAAGGGGATGAAATAGGTACAATGTTTGCATCTTCTTCCGCAAACAGTTTCCTCGAACTGGAAATTTGCTGCAATAGGACATGTGGTCAAAAATACAGTATGAACAATTGTCTGTCACTATTTTTTTCTTTTTAATTGTGTCACTCTGAGGTAGTTAAGTTTAAAGAAAAATAACGATGATGTCGCAAGTAAGAAAAGCATCTTACTTTTCTTTTAAATCAAGAAACTTAAATAAAATTCTAGTGCTAAAAATCCTGCTTCTTTGCACCTGGAGAAAAGCTCAAGGGGCATATTAAGAAGACCAAAATTTGATGTAGAATCAGCACTCTAGGTCACTAGAGAAAGTTGTATCATATGAATTCCAAAGGATTTATATCCAGCAAAATCTGAGCATGCCTATACATATACAAAATGACAGACTTTTTGGGCCCCCATACTAAAATAATAAGTAATATAAATAAAAAAACATATGGTGAGAGCTTAATTTTCTTAAATGCAGGTCCAACAATTCAATGATGTATAAAAGAAATGAAGGCAGATAGTATATTGGTCTTCCATTCTTCATTATCTTGATTCTGACATACAGTTTATTTTATATGTGTAATGTTTTAAGGCAATTACCAAATGTTGCAAATATTGATAGGAAGGCCTTCCAATTCTTGAGGAAGAAATATCAGAAACTATCCATGGATGTGCAAATTGGCCTGCAACAAACACAAATTTGCCTCTTAATCAGCTCAGCTTCAGGAATAACAGAATAAGTCACACTAGAAATGGTTGTCATGTGAAAAATAAAAAAGAATTCGTAATCCTTCAGGTCAGACAATATACCAATCTGATGCTACATATTTCACATCTGTAGACAAACAAATGCACCGGTTAATACTAATGCAAAAAGCAAATTTTGTATCAAGTAGGTTATGGTGCATTTGTCAATAATATGCATTTCAGCCATTGGATAGGATGCAAAAACCAAAGTTATTTAGGAGGTATAAAAGCATACGATTAGAAATATTGCCTTGGTGATGCATATTCACACTACCAGAGATGGCACATTCAAGAAAAGTGTTTGTCATGAATTTTCAGAAGGTTACCTGGTGAATAGAGCTTAGTGCAAGCATCATACCCAATGGCAGATGAACGGCCATTGCGCTCCATCATGGTATTGACCTGGCGAAGAACAGAACGTAGGCACCTTTGCCATCCCACCATGGTATCTAATTCTAACAAATCCAAGAATTGCAAGAGTCGTGGTCAATACAATGCATTTGTACAGAAATGTTACATGTCTAACATTTATTCGGTTTCAAAACCACGAACCACAAAATTATCTGTCAATTCATACGATGCCATCCATGCGGGGGTTACGGTCAATGCAGGCATGAAAGTTGTACCAGACTAAAGAGTAAGAACGAAAGACGAAAGACGAAAGAAAGAGAAGTCCAAATCGAGGCATTTAAAAAATTACCAACTGGTATAGCCGCTGGAGCAATCCAGTTCAATAAACAAAACATAATGTGACCGATAAATGCAAGAACTGAAGTTACCGCAATGCCAGTTACTCCGGTTAGAACTACAACTCGTTCTTCAAGGACTATTTCCAGCCAAAACCAAATCCAAACGTATTGTTAATTCGATGCGCTAGTATCAGTAGTTACTCATATGGGTAAATAATATTTGGCCACCAGGACAAGACAGCTCGACTGCTCCCAAAAATCGATCATCGAAACCAAGATCAACAACCCAACCCCCCTTTTGCCCGACCTGAATCACCACCAAGGCAAGAAGAAGGATAAATAAAAATAAATAAAGACAACGAAATGCCGTGTCGGTTGATTCACAGAACTGCTACTCATGAGGGCTCAAAGTGCTAATTATAAGACACCGATCTCACTGCTCCTCAGGATCTGAACGAACGCTCCGATGGAGCAGCAAGTAAAAGAAAAGAGCGAGAGAGAACCACTTGGCGGCGGCCGGCGACGACAGCCAAGGCTTGAGAATTGGGAGAGAGGCAGCGAGCGACGACCGGCTCTCAGTAACTCGCCGGCGGCAGTCGTCCTTGCTTTGCTTCGCTTCGCTAGGGTTCAACTTCGGGGGTGATGGAAATACCGGGCGACTGTTTATTTTATGTTAATCATTGGTGGCTTGTCGAGGCGCCAGATTTTACCGAGTCGCGACGCGAGTCCGATCTCAAATTCGGTTCGGATCGACAACCGAACCGGCTCATACATGAAAATTGACATTTGAAGCTGACGTCTGCTGGAATCGATCACTCGCATCATTGCCCTGAAACGCTCTTGGTTGACCCAAAGATGGATGACCCGTTTCAAGCCCAAGAACGTAGTGGACGCCGTTGCCTTTCTTCTTTAAACAAACCGTTCATGTTGTAAAAACAAATCTAATTTACAACATATCAAAAGAAAATTGCTTTCTCTAATTAAATCGGTCAGATGATTGAGTGCCCAACCACAGCTCAATATGGATTCGTTCCTTCTCTTCCTCAAGAAAACAGCTCTTGAATTTATATGTACATAACACTCAAATCATCATTTGCCAGCGCTACCAGACCTGTCGCAACTTCTCAGATAATAAATACTTCATCTACAAATTTGGTTGTTGGTTTCCTTCAATTTTTAGCTCCGCAATAGGAACGTCTCCACATCTGATGGCATTCTTCGACCGTAAGAGAAATGCAGTCTGCGAGTCATGTTTGACCTCCTTCAGTTTCTCCACATTCGAAACTGAGTCATGCTTTGGGCAGTTTCTCCTTCCATTTATCTGCGTCAATCATGCATTCCATTTATCTTCTTCGTATGGACCCATAGAAAAGTTTTCAAACTCCAAAATACGCAGAATCATCTTTGCTTGGTTCTCTTCTCCATCCAGAATGGATATCAACCACACAAACTAGAATTGGAGTTTAAAATCGGAAGGCGATGATATCATTTGCCGTTCAACTGAGACAGTAGAAAAGGGGGGAAAAGAAAAAAAACAAAAGTCTCATTGCCCTTGTTATGATGAAACACATGCCAACTTCTCAACATTCTGCTGGAGTCTTGCTAGGCAAACCCCTGATGACATGCTTGCACTGAAACCTATAAAAAACCAAAGCTTGTTAGATATGCCATGAAATAGAAACTCTTCAAAATTAGCACAAGTTTATTGGGCCAGTCACAAGTAGAGAAAGGCGAGGTTGAAGATTGATCTTCTACCAATATCATTAACATCGTGCCAACGGATTAAACACTAATTCTGGTAACTAGCAATCAACTTCTTCCTCGGCATTCAGTCTCAAGGGTTAGGTTAATCTTATCGTAACTACAAAACCGAAAAAGTAGAGCCGACTAAATGGGCAATGACGTGAACTGTATGCAATATAATCTTGAGGGATAATAGAATATACTTAATCCTGATGACTAACAGTTTGGTGTTTTAATAGAATATATGCCAAACAAAACAAAGAAACTGTTCTGAGTTCAACCCCATGCTCCTTTACTGCAAGTTACCAAGCAGTTCTTCACGTATTAGGACAAGAAAGCATTAAGGCCATTCAAAGATTCGAGGCATTTCAAAAGTAGAACTGACCCTCATGATGGGATACAGGAAAACTTGCCGAAAGAGATTAATATCTCAATTGCACATAGATGAATTTTTACCTCAGGTTAATGCAAAATCAATGCAGTAAAATGCATGTGAGGTTACATACCAGATCGCATCATATTCAGTGGAATTAGGACATAAGGAGCTGCCGGCAAGTGACGTTCGATGCAAATCATCCATGGCATGTTCTGGAATCTTGCAATTGATGTGTAACTTGAGTGGTACTACCTGTAGCGATGCCAAAGAATCAGGAAAACAAAACCTCTTTGCAACAGATTGAGACATCATAGGCCTAACAAAACAGTAGAACATATCACCATCGTCAGGGATGTCAAAGTACCTTTTTGCCGAATCGGAAATCACGCTTGGGAAAAAAATGCAGTGGGAGGCTGAAGGTAGAGGAACTTCTGACGAGCAAGAACAACTTGGACGGACCTAAAAGCAATCAGAGATAATTTTTAAGGTGAAGGCAGTCGTCAATTATCTTGATCGGAAATAGCAAGAGTGGAAAAATTAGAACAAACCCGTGTAAGTACTACTCCCGGCACCAGCAGATATTAGAACTCGAATGGCCTGGTCATGAGAATCATGTTAAACAGAATGTATGACAGTTCACATGATGGCCAGTTAGAGTTGACCAAGAGAAACCAACCTTTCTAGCAATATTATCAGAAATTTTCCTTTCGGTGCATTTATTTGCATTTCCAGAACCAAAATTCCCTCCAGAAAACACCAGCTGGTATACGTGTTGAGGTCTCACAATACTCGCTCCAAGAATCAAAGTAACTTCTCGAATGTCAGGCATCTCCTCCAGCGCCAGTCGAAGCGCAGAAAGCAAGCTCGATTTGGAACACATCAATTTGTCCAGCCTCCTGATCCCCTGTTTGATCTCTCTTTTCCTCAAATTATGCTTCCTCCTATCGGATGCCTTTGATTCTTCCGGTGTTCGACATGCCTCTTCCTAGGAACAGGAGCTTCTTTGGATGAGAACATTTCAGCCCGCTCGAAAGATCATAACCTAGATATATATTGACCGTTTGACCTACCAAACTTTCATGTTCCTCCTTTAGAGCATCAAATTCATTTTCGAGGTGTTGAAGCAGCCTGCAGCGACGAGAATACCAAGAAATGTTCTGATTCATCTTCAAATTGATGTAACCAATTATATTCATCTAAAAAAGGACACAGGATCGCAAAGGAAACGAGAAGCAGACTCAATTTACATGTTTGGTGGAACTCTGATATTTCTAACACTGATTAAATGATTTTATTCTAGAAATGCGTAACAGTTATACTACACACATTTAGTTTGAATGTGTGTAGTATAACTGTGAAAGTATACTACACACATTCAAACTAAATGTGTGTAGTATACTTTTTTTCTGTAGTGAGGGGGGAAGAAAGTATTGAGAAATTTGGAACCAAAACTATAGGAACTTAGCATATAAATCGATATGTTTCTCGATCGGGATGGGATAATCAGCCCGACCACTTCATTTCGCTGTCATACAACCAATCAAAGACGAACGGATAAATTGGCTCTCAGAATTCAGCTGCGTTAATTACACGTTTATCTTCCGAGCTAAACATTGCAAGTTGGAAACAATCACATATAAACCAGAAAATGCATATAAGAGAACTACTCTCGAACAGAAAAATCGCGAATGAGAAAAAGTCCTCCGAGAACCCCTTCGAGAAAACCAATATCACGCCAAACGAAGCCCCCAAAGCAATTTGGGTGCACGAAACATTCGAGAAAACAACATCACGCCAAACGAAACCCCAAAAGAATTTGGGTGCACGAAACACCCAACGTCCGCCCATCTTGCACAAGATCACAACAACGTCCTCCATCATCACCGATCCATCCCTTTTCCGTTGATTCCTCTCGTACATTGCCGGAAAGAAAAGAAATTGCAAGAGAAAGAGCAAGAAATGTAAGGGTAAACTAGGGTCCGAAGGGCTTACGACGGGATCTGTTGGTGCATGTAGAGGACGAACCCGAGGATCTCCTTGACGATGTGGAAGATGTCCGATCTCCCCAACCCGTCCGCCGCTGCCGCCTCGATCTCCATAAAACCTGGCCGCCCTCCTCCTCCCGATTCCATATGCTCCGACCAGAAACTGAGGACGGGAGGAAGATTTCAAAACACACGCAATAGCGGCTGCGCTTAACGGGTCGGAGTCTGGGAAGCAATACCCGTAGCCACTTTTAATCACGCAGCCATGCCGATTTCATCAAAACACACGCAACGGCAGCTTCGCTTAACGGGTCGGAGTCCGGGAAGCAATACCCGTAGCCACGTGTAATCAAACATCCATGCCGATTTCAAAACACACACAACGGCGGCGGCTGCGCGCTTAACGGGTCGGAATCTGTGAAGCAATACCCGTAGCCACTTTTAATCACACATCCGACACGTGATACGGATCCGCGTATTTTTTTATTTAAGGTATATATATCGCTCAAAATATAAAAATGCAAGAGGTAGTAATGATAATAATAATCATCATCTCAGATAAGTCCATGTTAGATGGAGATTAAAACACGTGGATCCATGATCACATTAGGGATAGAGAAAGCAGCGACAGCAGTCAGCTACACCACCGCATCGGCAGAAGCACAGGGTTCACTCATCGATTCACGGCGCGACAGTTGCTCCTGATCTGCCCGTCGGTCCCCGTGAGAACCCCGATGTTGCCCATCTTCGTTATCGACTTCCCGAACGCATCGAAGAAATCGCCGTCGTCGAGCAGCTTGTCCACTATCTTGCTCGATTTGCCGTCGGTCAGGAGGGCGGCGTCGGACTGGAACAGCCCCTCCTTCTGCTTCAGGATGACGTAGTAGTGGTCGTCGAACGACAGGCTGCTCCCAGGATCCATCTCCACCGTCGTTGTTCTGTCGGTCGGACTGCACTGCGTCTTCAGGAACGCAGCGTGGGTCGCGTTCAGGGACGGGTCGGTGTCGCCTTTGCCGGTGAAGTTGTAGAGCCTGTTCCTGATGATGCCGCAGTGCCCGACGCCAATGGTGTGTGCACCTGCCAGACAGCATCAACTTCGTGTTACTTAATCCTATACAACTAGTGAAAGGACAAGCACTCGACGGTTGCAGATTGGTTCAGCAGATGTAACTGGGTTTTCATGGTGTCTACTTATACTATACTATGCTATACCTGATAGGACGACGAGGTCCTCGACGTCCAGATTCTTGCTGGCGAACTGTTGAACGAGCCTGGTGAAGTTGGCGCCGGGTGAAGGAATGTCGGCGAGGGCCTCGGATGCGAGTGATACATTGCCGTCCCTTCGGCCGGTCTTCACTTCCCAGAGAGGCTTCTGAAACTGCCATCAAACATCAAACACTTAACACGGCTAAGAGTCAAAGTTGGTACACACAACAAGAAACCACTTAAGGTTTGTGCAGTGCAAGTCGATCGTCAGCGACTTACTTGAAAGGATACCGAGTCTCTTGCGGCCAGCGCAACTATGTCTGCGCAGGAGACCCTCCCTGGGCAAGCCTTCTCCAACGCCGCCTTCACCTGATCGATGACTTCGAAGCCTGCTAGCGATCGGTTCGGGATGGCATCCTTTTCGGCGCTAATGTTCGCTGTTGAATCCAGCAACACGGAGGCATCACAACCCTGTCGTACGCATGCATGCAGCAACGTCGTGTCAGTCAGGAGGGCTATATATGTATCTATATGGATATGCATGACAATAAACCATGAGGCTCCGTGCGCTTACCCTCACGAAACAGTCATGGAAGAACAATCTCAGGAGTTTGGCAGGCAGGGTCGAGTTGCTCTCGACGCTTGCCCACACCAAGTCCTGAACCATTTCCTCGGCCTGAGGGCACAGCTTCTTGTAGAAGTGCTTCTTTAGTTCATCTGCTTGCCCTCCGGAAGAGAGGCCAAGAAGCACCACACAGGCCAGAAGGAGGAAGGTGGCCTTCATCTCTGCGCTTGCCGTTTGCTACTGCTGCTAGTATGAATCCGCTAGCTGGCTACATCCGTCGAGCTTTAAGATTCATGCTGCCCTTTATATACAAGATTCGAGAGTAAGATCGAGGGGCTGGCAACTGCAGATTGTTTAAGGTTATCTTTGGTTGATCAAGACGTGAAGACGCTCTCTTCTTCGCATGTGTCATGGACTTGTGGGTCAAAACGATCTTGCTAATGCAATAATGAGATCGATGAGTATAAAGCTGAGGAAGGTTGCGTGCAGCTTCCATGCACCAGCTAAACCTAGTCTAAATCGTTCATCTATAAGTCTGACAAAAATATTTATTCATCGTTGACCATTTGGAGTCATGGAATTCTCCTTCGCATGCTGGCTATGAAGAAGAAGATGATGATCCTGGTGATGTTTGCTAGAACTAACCTCTCTTTTGTGTTTTGGTTGTTGTTTAAGCAGTCAGTAATTGAGAATACAATTCATTAGCTGCCCCGTTGGCGTAATAATTGATGGTCGTCACATATGGATGGTGTGGACAGGAGACATCAGAAAAATAAAAAGAAGCAAACAGACATGGATGGATAGGAATCGATTAGCTGCCCGCCCCGTCGGCGTAATAATTGATTAGCGAGTAGCATTCTGAGTGTCTTTTTTCTTAACGAGGCAGGTTGCGATGCAGAGTCTCAAATGGCCTCGTCGTCTTTTCCCGGTAAACCTCTTGTCCCGAATCAAATGAATATGATAAGAGAAACGAGGGAACCAGGAATTCATATAGTATTAATAATACAAAACCTCTTTTATGCCGATCTAGTTGACTTTGACTTTGTGGTGTCCCTCATTAATACATAAGAGTTGGGTGATGATGAAACGAGAGAGACAGAGAGAGAAGGTGGAGGCCACGAGCAGTGGAAGTAAGCGGCCAATTGAACGTCCTGATGATGCGTGGAAAGATGGAGAGACGCCCTTTCTTCGAGCGACAGGTTCACGGCAAAAACATTTATATATGTTCTGTAAGCACCGATGATGAGCCCGCAGGAGATGAGGGCTGCGTCTGTACCCTGTTGATATCGTGTGTTGCGCACTGCATGTGAAGTGGCGTGGAGTCCGGGAGGAGAACATGAGTTATCATCCATGCATCCATGTAGTCAACGGTACTGTCCAGCTAATGAAGAGTAATCGTCCACAAAATCACATGCCCTCCGAGGCCAAAGTCGTCGTCGTCGTTCGTCTCGGTAATCGGCCATTGGCTTCCAATGTTTATTGGCAAACACAAAGCAGTAACGATGAGAAGAAGAGGAAAACCGACCGGTGTCTCTTTCTCGTCGCAAACGTCGTTCCCGTTCTTTGCTGAACGAGGGCGCGGCGCATGGCACCGTCAACCAACGCAAGGGATTCCGCCCAAAACCATGCCATGCATCCATCAAATCCGTGCTATAGACGTGTGGAGTTGACTTGGGCACGAAGCTATCGACGAAACCAACCAAAATATTATCCATCCTTGACGCTTACGAGTTGCAAGCAGCCATTTGTACGTCTCCCCCCTACATCGAATGCACCGCCCCCCCTCCCCCCCCAGCATTATTATATAAACCCAGGGGAGCTTAGAAGAAATAAAGGGGACCATTATTTATATGTAGCCGACGAAAAGAGATGATTAATATATTCATTCTTTCTTTTTGTTTTTTCTTCTTTTTCTGTCTCGGATGATGCACTGAAGATAGATACTGCGACGAAGTGCACTAGTGACTGAAACTTAATATCGCCAACATCAGAGAGATGAAAGCTGGTAGTGGGAACTATGGTATATATGTCATCCTCGACCCCAAAGATTCAACCCTGCATTAGAATTATGGTATATATGACATCCACAAGTTTTTCTTGCTTATTAACCACAATCATGGCATCGATTAAAGATGAAATATTATTGCATGACTCTGTGGTTGCCGGGCACCAAACCGCTTCTGCCATAATTCCACGAGTGACTCAACCTTGCAGTCCAATAATAATAATCCCCGAGTCGGGTCGAATTAAAAACAAACAATTATAACATACACAACCACTAATTGGCAAAAACGTCGGACAAACATATAGTTCTATCGGAATTGAACCTATCAAGCCGTTTTATTAATTTCAATATACGGGACAACGATGATAAAACCGCATTGTTCAGATCAACACTTTGTAAGATACCAAAGCGCTGAGTAGAAAACGTCCACAGCCTACTGCAGGGATGACATAAAGCAAGAAAAATCCACAATATATAGATGTCGGTTCTTAGTTGAAATTGCGTGTCATGATACTTCCAATCACAAACCAATAAGAAAATAAAAGCCTGAAAACAGTTTCCTGGCGTTTTCCTTTGACAGAAAGAAAACTACTACCTTACGACGCAGTCGAAAACTAGGATGACTTGAAAAAGATCGAGGATGAAGAAGCATGTCTTACGAACCATCGTGATTCACTCAGGCAGATTTTGCACACACCAGATCCTCGATCAGATCCGCGGCATCCTGCACCGTCACAATGCTCTGGGCGCTGTCTTCTTCGACGGTGATCCCAAATGCCTCCTCCAGACCCATCACAACCTCAACCTGCACCACAAGTTTGATTTGATTATCATGTACTGTAGACCCAATCATAATAGGGCATGTAACTTTTTCTACATGTCCGAGCTACTGCTACCGATATATTTGGATAAATTATGAGGGCGTCACATTTTGTGTCTCCGCTTGATGGTGGTAACACAGAAAATTACCATGCCTAAACATTACCGTGCGTAAACACCAAACACATCAACCCAATCTTTCGACCAGAATTTACGAAAAGATCACCTTCAACATTATTTTGTTACTAGCATCAACTACAATTTTAACTTGGCCAGTTAACTAGCTTGTCACAAAATAGAAGCAGAGACAAATGTGCCAGAAGAAAAGCTATCATGAAGGGGGATATACTAAAAATTATTCTCCAAACCATGGCATTTTCACTCCTAGAGCAAGCTACAGAAGAATGGAACTCATTTGGAGTGATTTAGTCGATTAGTTCACACATCATCACTCTTTGATTAGGCTCTAATGTAAATTCTACACTAAACCGTAAAAGTTTTGCTATCTTTTGAGTACTCGAAGCAGAAACAAACTTAGATATTTCTTTCTAGACAACATTTCCGGTAAGATCAGAGCTGTGGATGGTACCGTGTCAAGAGAATCAGCCCCAAGATCAGCAAACTTTGAGTGTCCAGCGACAGTGGCGTTTTCAGGGAGTGCCAACTGCTTCTTCACTATATTACAAACCTTCTCCAGTGTCTCTGGTTTGGCCTGTTTTACCAAATATATGATGATGAAAATATAACTATTAACTATTAATTTAATAAGCATAACTCATGTCAAAATGAAGTGCTCAAAAGCATGCAAGAAAAATTTAGTCTAAATGAGATTGAAACATCATTATACAATCAACAGAAATCCTATTCTCCCTCCAGTTAACCAAGATGACCACGTTATCCAGGTATCCTCAGTATCTAAAGGATATCCATTTTTAGTAACTACATAAAACTGACCATTCTGAAACATGACAAGCATTCAGGAAGTATCCCATGGATAGACTTTTGACAAATTCCAAGACAATGGAGCATGTGTTTAAAGATTTGAGTACGTAAGATTTCAGAATTTGGTGCTGAAGCAAAATATTATTAATTAATGCCCTTATAACAGCAAAATTAACAAAAAAAATCTACTGGAAATGAGGCAACTAAAATGCTCCACCAAATATTACTCAAACCACATGCCACCAAACATTTAATTATAGCAAAGTAATTAATTGCTGCAATATGACAATGAGGACATGCACAGAATAACGATATTGGTAAGCACAATAAAAAAATGCTAATGTTAGGAAAATATATATATATATATATTGGATGAAAAATATCTTATTTTCCAGTAGCAAAATACGACCATGTTCTCTGTTTGCCTAATTCACCAGTTGCTATTATCTATAGTATCTCTAGAAATGCATGAAATGCAAGATAGCTGTACATTGAATTTAGAAATTTCTGGTAAAATGATGTCTTGCAGAGAAATCTCCTTGTTTGGACCTTGTAGCAATATTGGATGGAAACTAACAAAAGAGGACAGCAGCAATTCTAAAACAAAGGCATGATAGTGAGACTGCTAGTAAAAAACTTATGGCAGATAAAGGGGCAAAAGAAACATACAGCACAAGAAACCCGAAAGCGTGATGTTGCTGGGTGTGATCTTATTGACGGAATGCTCTTTCTTTGGCCGGCAAAAGAAACGGATTTGACAACAGATAAGCCATTAAATACCTGCAAACCAGAAACAAAATCATATCATCATGTAGACTAACCAACAGTTCGTTCAATAGAACAGCATGGGTCAATTAGTATACCAACAACACATGTGTGCCCACGGTAGGTTCGAGCAAGTTGTTAAGTAAAGGACTAAAGCTGAAAAGTTTGGTACGTAGATTGAAATGATAAAATATGCTACTTGGCAGTGAATATGTAATGCTATGTCCATACAAAGCCCAGTTACTGATGAGTGAATAATAAGTTAAAATCTTGGATCTAAAGGGCGGTAGTAGGCACCCTTATTCTCAAACTGGAGAAATTATATGCAATACGACATTTAGTGGAACAAACATTCCCGTCAACGACACTACAAAACAAATCAAGTGCACAAAACTCACCAAAATTTTCCAATAAATATTCAGATGATTAAGATATATAAAAAAATCAATGGATCTATTTTAAAACCCCAACAACCTAAATTGTCTGTTCAAATCAGATAAATAAGGTTTTTGATTAATCATCATTGGAAATGCAATGCTGCGAAATCCGGCCTCGCTTTCATAACTACAGGGTTTTAGAATCACCATCTTCTGCATGCAAATTTCATGTTCAAATCCGATAAAATAGGTCTTTGATTAATCATCATTGGAAATGCAATGTTGCGAAACCCGGACTCGCTTTCATAAACTACAGGGCTTTAGCATCACTATCTTCTGCATGCAAATTTCATGTTTGCTTGATGAATCACACAAATTGCACATGATTGCCCAAACCTTTACTCTAGGTGTTAGAATCTCTAGGGCATCATGTCGCATGTGATAGTATAGCAACGAGGAAAGAGGTTAGAAAAGAGGTCAGACAACATCATTTAATTAAACAACTAAGTGCAAGATGTGATTCCAGTAAATCTTGATTGACAACAATATTCGATCTCACTAAAAAACTCAAAGAAATAAAACCTACTTTGTGAGATTAAGAAGGGGCAATAAATTCTTATCAGGTTAAATAAAGAACATGGAGATCACATTCAATTTCTTCAATAAGTCGACAAAAAAAAAAGAAAACAACCTCTTCCATGATGATAACCGATCTGGGAAAGGAAACCTTTTCTAGCAATCAATGATCTTTAGAATGTTCTAAAGAAAATGCCAAAACCACAAATTAATTTTGTGCTTCCGGTTTCCGTTGTACCCTCCTAAAATGAAACGTTGTCTTTGCTGATGTTGAGTTCAATATTTAGGGGTTCTTCAGACTACGGAAATCTTTGAAATTTTTGACGGGTTGGTGATCAGTTCAAAGACGAGACGAAAGTGTCTATATTTGACAATGACCGTCATTACTCACAGCAGTATGCTTCGAATGATCTTCTGGTGAGGCTAGCTTAATAACAAAGTAGCAAACTATATGAATCAAGGCGCTCTGATGGATAAATCCAGTCGATCCATCCGAATCGAAGATCTCCAAAAGAAGAAGAAAAAGAGTTTACCATGCCGTTCTCAGATCTACAGAATCAAACAGAGCTCAACGAAAAAAGAAATAGATAACATCTTAATGAAGTAACCAGATCCGCAATTCCGGAGAGATCAATCCGACGAAAAACCTTGCAGAAGGGCGAAAAACAAAGCAATGAAGTTGAGATCACGGAAAGACGACATAAAAGGCGATTGCCACCTGCAGCGATCGCCGCGACGGCCGTGCGGAGATTGAGATCGCCGTTCCCGTGACGGAAGCCATTGCCGACAGATCGACCCGAAGATGACAAGAGAGAGAGGAACACAAGGGGCGCAAGTGAGGCAAGGGGGAGGCGGCTGATCATAAAGAGGAGCGAGGTGGCTTCGGTAATATCGACGTTAAAATGACCAAAAGGCCATCCAGGAGAAGGCATCTGCCGACCTGCCTGCTCTTTATATCATCACTACTGGCCCATCCCGGCCTTACCAATGTTGACCCGTCCAGTATCTAAAACCCTCGAATTCGTCGACACACACTCTTACCGCCTTTAATGCTAATGTTACTACGAACATTGACATTATATTTGATCTTATTACGGGAGGAAATTAGGATTTGACTATATTGTATAACCTTCTTCACGCTCTTTTCATTCGAAGCATCCTTGCCGATTTATTGTTCATCCTTACACAAATATTTTCACCATTAATTCCAAGTCACCATGAACAACTTCAAACACAAACGAGTCGACGATCGCACACGCTGAAGCAGAAGAAGAAGTAGAAGAAGAAGAAGAAGAAGCACACCACATTGGCTTGCATCCACGAGGAAACCTAGTAGTTTGATTTACGAAGGCCCAGGAGGCCGAGGACGACGAGCAGCACGTACGCCAGGGATGCCACCATCGACAGAACGATGGCGGCGTTGACGCGGGCGCAGAAGCCACCGACGGCGTGGCAAATCTCTGACCACCTAGCCAAGCGTTGTTGTCCGTGCTCCAGCACGACGCTGATCGCAGTTGCCGCACCGTTGCCGGAGAAGAGGAGGGCCACCATGACCAGGTCGCCTATGGAGAAGGGCAGTAACATGATGCTTTTGCCAGCTTTGCTTGCGATGAGTAGCGCAAGGGAGACCACCGAGTAGAACGACACAAGGGTGTTGGCCACTATAAAGTACCTGGGATTTAGAAAGAACAAGAGAAGATTAGGAGGCGAATATCTACCTACTTGCTCCTCCTCGATGCCAACATTGCTAGAAAGATATGATCTAGGGAGGAATTGCTACACGAAGGCTGCGGAGTTGGTCGACTTGGTCGATCCGGCGACGGTGGATAAGAAACCCGTAAGAGGATTAACGAAGAGAACCGTGACGGTCCCCCGGGCGGTGCCCATCACGATGGTGGCTACTAGTGTTAAGACTATGGCGCTGATGCGGAGGATGTAGCTCAGTAGACGCATCCAGCTCACCGGCGCCGGCACTCCGACGTTGTAGGCAGGAGGCGATTGCATCGCTGGCGGCGATGCTGCCGCATGAATAATATCGTGGGCTTCGCCGCCGGATGTCCCATGCATTCCTCCAAAACCAGGCCCATTATTCTGGGACTCCATTGCCCTTTGAGAAGATATTTAGCTGCCCATGTGGATCTCATATCACGTACTGAGATCACATGTGGAAGTATAGTACTGGGGAGGCCGGACCAGATATTTAGCATGTATCGTCATTTGGTCAAACTCAAACCTCCTTTCTTCGTAGCGTATTTTGGATCCTGCGATCAGATTAGCTGTCTTTTCCGTTGCGTCAAGTCTCGTGTGATCCTCAAATCAACCGGTTGGCATCAGGGATTCAATATGCTTCCCATATGGCGGCTTCTGTATGTGCGACGGCCGCAGCACCTCTGGGGAAATACACACTTTGACATCTCTCTCTCTCTCTCTCTCTCTCTCTCTCTCTCTCTCTCTCTCTCTCTCTCTCTCCGTATGTGAAAACGAAACGAAAGCAAGGGCAGGAAGTTTGACTATTCAATCATCTAGTCGCAAGCTTACAGGTGTGGCATTTGAACCAGTCTCGATGAGCCTGCGTTTACGTCAACGCAGTTGCGATGCTCGAAGATAAGGATCCCAAGCTACGTGAAGACAGCATAAGATTATCGTCAAGCTTTAATGATACATTAAATGTAGACCCCTAAAAGAATGATCACTTCCGACCAATAACTAAGATCTAGAAAGTTGGAATTGACTATTTTCAATACGATTTCTGATAAATAATTTGGACTCGAAAAAAAAAATTCAAATTCTCTAGACGCTCTTATTAGTATCGCCATCATCATAACTATTTGAGTCATTTAAACAGATGTTAGTGTCAACTTCGTCTTCCCCATTAGATAGAAGGGATAGTTTGGTGGAGAGAAACCGTGGCAGGGCAGATATCACAGGGTCGGCCCATTTCTTTGATGCTGACACAATCAAGGCTTGCGTGTGCAAATCAAACTTCGTGGGAACGCCCGTTCTACGCTACACAGCCTTTTGCCCACTTTGTCAAACGTGGCATCGGAATCCTCTCCCTCCCTCCAACCAGAAACTAAAACACCTCTCCATTTCTCATTCTTAATAGCGATTAGTCTACATCTCGTGGTCACGTCGTGGCCATACGAGTGCACTTGCGTGCTTCCATTCGAGAGGTCGATGGATGATGGCGGGGGGATCGCTCGCTTTTTGGTTTCTTTCTTTCTCTCTGCATGTGCCATCGAACCTTTCTTTGACTTTTAGTGTTGGTCAGAGGTGGATAAGATCATGGAATGGTCGACGTGTTCATCTGAATGGTTGGGTGTGTGTGAGCTGGCTCCATGCATCGGCTCCTTCAAGCAAATTTATGATGCCACACCCACAGTCCACCAGACTTGCAATTCAACTACTGCTACCTAACAAGAAACCGATTTGATAAAATATGGGACCCGCAGAGGCGGATGCGTACGTTCTTCCGTTCATACCGCGAACGACGTGTGGATTATGCCACCTCCCGTTACCCGTGTCCTGTGCTTTATATATCGATACGGAAACACCGGAGAGGACCATTCTTCAACCCAACTCCCTCGGAGAGCACAGGCCATGGCATCCACGGAGACGAGTACTACGTCTACCACCAACGACTTCTCCGGCAGCAAGACCGCCCCGGAGTACGGATACGCGGTGCCGTCGCGGCCGCCTCCCAATCTCTTCTTCCTCGACTTCGGGCTGAGGCTCCTCCTCTTTGCGTCCGCCGTCACGGCGCTCGTGGTCATGGTCACCAGCAAGCAGACCAAACTTATTTCCGTCACTGTGGCGCCTTCGTCCCAGATCTTGGTCAGTCGCGACGCCAAGTTTCAGCACTCTCCGGCCTTCATGTAAGTTTGCCGACGCATGCTAGCTGGCTAGGAAGAGAACCAATTAAGTTTGGTTGTGCTGGGCCAACTCAGGCTGAGCCATAGCTATAGCTAGCCGTGGTTTTTCTTTGCGCTACCACACTTGAATTTGATTTCTAACATATATATATATATATATATATATATAATTGGAGCTTCTCAAACAAATGATAGTGGATACATAAATCTGATGCTTATGGCTGTATGTGCAATATTACTATGAATTATATATGGATCTTGATAATCCATTTACAACTTACCTCGATGCTATAAATATCATGCACGGCCACCTTTTTCTCCTTTCCAAGATTTTGTTTGAAAAGTCAAAGATTTAAGTCATCTTTTATCCAGAGTTGATTTCCAAGTTTTTATTTTTCTTACGGAAGCTTCCGAAGTCTTACTCGTAATGCCGCCATCCGAGTAGGTGGATGGTTCATATTGCATAGTTCAGAGACATGAAGTGCCCTTCATGTGGGTCCTCCTATCATATATTTATATGCATGTATATATAAGATATGGAAGAAGAATATAAAGATAATTGATTTATGACATGTTGTCTGACGATCGACTGCTGAATTCTTGGTTTGTGTTTGGCCTTTGTGCAGATATCTGGTGGCTGCGCTTTCGGTCACTGGTTTGTACAGCATCATCACCATGTTGGTTTCCTTGTTTTCCATCGCAAGCCCCTCTCCATCACCAAAGACGCTGTTCCTTCTCATCCTCTTCGACACGGTAGACTAACTAACTTTAGTTTGTGGTGGTGTTGGATCCATATCGACCACTTGGATATAAACTTTTATATGGTGACATGAAGCAGCCATGTATGACGACGTTGCTTCTCTTTTGACAGCTGATGGCCGGAGTGATGGCTTCAGCCACCGGCAACGCGGGATCCGTCGCCTACATAGGTCTGAAGGGCAACTCTCATGTGAATTGGAACAAGATCTGCAACATGTATGGGAAGTTCTGCCGGCACGTAGGCAGCTCCACGGCCGTCTCCCTCATCGCCTCCATCGTCCTCGTCTTGCTCGTCGTGCTCTCCTCCTATTCTCTCTACCGTCGCAGTCGCTAATGATAGTTAACGCGTCCACCTTCTCTCTTTAGCAGGTAGAGTTTGGTGTCACGTTTAGTGGTGTGTAATCCATTCACATGGTCTTGTCGCCGTCGTCGTCGTTCGTCTTGTGTAATGGTGATAGTGTGGTTTGCTTCTTCGTGTCGTCGGCAAATGTGAAAACACTGGTTTCTGTTTTGTTGACTGCGACTCCTTTGGCCATCGAGCGAGAGAGCGAGCATTGACTGTGCTGTGCATGCCTTCCTTTCGTCCACCAAATGAGCCATTCCAAGTAGCCAATTGCATGTAGAATGACTTCTCCAAGAATCAGCTGGTCGGAACTATCGGGCACGGGCCAATGGCACGCCGGTGCCAACACAAAATGATCGGCTCCCATTCATTCCCTGTTCCGTAACATCAACCACCAACACAACGACTGCACGTCTAATCCCTTACTGCTCACTTTTCATCCTCGACCATCCAATTACTATCGATTAGATGACTTCGAGCCGCCCTCCCTGTTTTCATTTAATGAATTTATTGCGGTACTATACTGTGGGACGACACATTTCATCATACACATCGTGGGGGGCCATGTCAAAGTCTTGGTAATCTGGATATCAATACAATAGACACATTTCCTTATGGATCTGTCCAATAAACAAAGAGGTTGTTCCTTACCAATTCATCCTACTTTGTGTCCAATAAATAAAGAGGTTGTGCATACGTTCAGCGAAAGTATCAGAGCAAATCACAGACTACCAACCAAGACATGGAGAACCACTCACTGGTAATAGTGGTAGATGCAAAAACTGTGGCGGGGGGCATGGATTCAGAAAAAAGTTGCAGAGGTTAGAGGTAACCAGAGAAACGGCTGCTGCACCTGAGGCTCAGCCTCATTCATCGCGTTTGCTTCAGTTTTCAGGCACGATTCCTAGGTATCGCTTGGCGTGCATGCATCGTGAAGCCCGCCAGGAGGATAGAGCGTTAGAATGTTCATCTGCATGCGGCGCAGGTCGGCGCAGAACTGGAGCGCTTCGTTCATGGCCTTCTGCGCCCCGCTCAGGGCTTCTTCCATCTGTGTGTGGCACAGGTAATGAGAATTGATCTGGAAGAGGATCTTGTCGTGCCGTTCTTGGAACCTCGTCAACCTCTCCTCGGCTTGCTCGAGAGCCTCGCTGACGCGCCTCAGCTTCTCGGCCATGAGCTGCCGCCGGTGCCATTTCTTCAGCTCCAACGAGCTCAGCAAACCCAACGAAGCGAGGCCTGCGAGAATCGAAAGAACGTGCAGCAGACCCATGGAGAGGGAGGGAGGGAGGGAGGGAGGGAGGTCCGTGAAAGGAACGGAGACCAACCAAGGATTGCAGGAGCCGATTCCTTGCTCCGTCGTGAAGATAATAAAAAATACCAGCCGGAAAGCAAGTAGCCAAACAGGAGATTTGAGGTTCTAAAACATCAAAAAGGAAGCACGAGCGTCTTTTTCTCACGGTCGCGGGCAGGAAAGCAGGTCTCAAGGTACATGGTTCCGTCGAGCGCCGATCCCCCTATCATATGGCTCCGGCTCCGGCTCCGGCCGGCCGATATGAGATACATACAGAGAGGGTTGACTAGAATATAAATTCATGCACCATCTTAGCTGCCGGTTTCGCTCATGGCGCATCAGACCGCATTAGTCCACCATGGACTCATCAGAGGGCTCTTCTTTTCCACGTATTTTTCCCAGAAACACATACATCTGGACTAGTACTTTACTTGCATCAAGTCGTCCTCATATTTATATATACAAAATGTAGATGGATTGCAGAGAGTAAATAAATTTGGATTTGCGTCCATATTCCATATCTCAAGAGTGTCTAAAACTTTGAAGCCCCCACAGGCAGGCAGTACACAGTAAGAAAGAATACGATTAGAGGATGAAATAAGCGTTGAAAGGCAAAAAAAAAAGACAAGTCGCACACATTTAAGGAATCTGGAATCCACGCACCTTCTCCTACAGCATAACTTGTAGCAGTCGAAAAGATGACCAGAAGCTTGTTCTGCTAACGGAAAAGTGACGAGGTCTGTAAGAATATTTCTTCTATTCTCTTCCTCCTTTGATCTATTTGGCAGAGTATCGGCTATAAGATGCATTTTTCTTAGCTGTTCTGCTTGGTGCAGTCAAATCCACGGCACACGGACACCCATATAATAACAACTAAAAACAGCAGAATTCCAAGGACCACCAGCTTGATTTTCATGTTCTGCAACCACATTTTCTTACGAATTCTCGTCCCCTGTTTCTTGAACCCTTGAGCCTGGAAATTGAACATATCTAACATGATCACTGAACTATAATACACACACACACACACATAATAATATAAGCTACTTTCCAAATTATCTGGCTACCTCATTTCGCAAGTCTGATGCCTTTGCTTCCAGATCAGTCAGCTTCTCCCCGCGCTCTAGAGTCTGAAAAATATAAGTGCATAACCCAAGAAACTTATACATTGGGTTCCAAAAAAGTTGATGATGAAACTGTCAAAAAGACTAAATATTATTTTATAGCAATTTAAATGAGGGCAACAAAAAATGGTGCTGGTTCTCCTTTCGCACTTTAACAATAGCAGAAATCAGAGTCTTTACGTAAATGCAACAAAGTTCTATTTAAATATAGGCTTATCCTTCCGACTTTCATCATTAACACTCGTGGAACTTTTGTTGTCTGCAATATGACAAACAAACCAATAGCAAAGGTAATAGAAGGGCCAAATGACAGATCTCCTGTCAGAGCAGCTACCATCTAAATGATAAGAATCTTAAATATGGCCCACTAAATGTTCATCTATTACTTGGATATGGCAATCCAAATTTGGCAAAAAAGTTTCCAGGATTCTGGGTGTCAGTAGTGCACTCAAAAACAAACCGAAAGGAGAAACCTTTTTCCTAATAAAATGCTGTGTTTGGTCCTGCATATGGGATCATATCCACCAATCAGCAGACCCAGACCTCAGTCCTACAGCACCAAGGTCCATATTCTGCAATTTACTGGCAGACCATAGTTTACATTTATTGACCTACTACTAGAATAATATGCAGAAAAAATATATCCTGCGACTTGCATGAAGATCTAGAAGGGGTCACCTAAAAATAACTCAGATGCCGGTGACAAAAGGGGATGGTGTAGGGCTTGTCAATCCTGGTTATGTCTTTCTCAAGGTAATTTCTGTTAATGCATTTGCAACACGAAATCTCTGTAAATGAATAAGATACTTCCGCTTGGTAGCTTAACATTGCCACCACTTTTATCAGATTTCACATTGTTTTGGTTCAAAATACCAAAAGGTTTAAGCATGCCAGCGAATAATCAAATTATTTTAAGTCTATATTTGCAAAAAATTTCCTAAAAAGATTTTTCTGGTTCAAAATCACCTTGGTTAGAGATATCAGATAAAGTGAAAAATAGTTTTCACTAAGTAGTCAAATATTTTTCCTCACACGCAAAAGGGAAAGAACATGTGTCTTGATGTGCTGATCCATTTTGAACTTAAGGTCATAAGGCTAAAACATAGACAGTGGCAGACCTGTTTAAGGAATTAGAAAAGATTTCTTCTAACATGTTAGAGCATTACCAATATTTTTCTTTGTTTTCAATGTCATTTCCAATTGTAGAAATACCCGATTAGCTTTACATGATAGGCAATAAGATTTTTAGATCCATGAAGCAAACAGAAGAGCTTCATAATAATTTAGTAGGGATTTTAATAGAAAACAGTAAAAGATGAAGCTCAAATATAAAATTCCAATTAAATTCCAGTGCACTCGGTATTTGAAAACACAAGGAATTATTACTACAAATTTGTATACCTAACCTTTTATTACTGAAGTTGCATCAAAATATCTGTAAGAATCAAGTACCTTATCGATGTTCTCCAACATAATGTTTTTCACTTCTGAAACTTGGACCTTAACTTTCAAAAGCTTTTCTACCTCTTCTGCATGATCAATTATATATTGCATGTGCCCCTTAATGACTGGGCTGCAGCATACAAGTTAAGCTCATATAAAACTTGAATTAGGTTTAAGAAAAAGGTAAAAAATGCATCAGCTGGAAGTCTGGAACAGAGAAGCATGATACGATAAGCATACCCAAATTCTTTATTTAGACTTTTGGCAGTTGCTGTATCAGCTTTGCCACCACCATATCTCTTGGTAAAGTCCGCTTTCAGTCGTTCCAAGAAAGCTATGGAAACATTTTTCACAACAGAGTCTTTGGTAACAACACAGTATGCTGCAATATCAAGGGAAGGAAATAGATGTCCTCATTAAAAGTACTTCTACATCTATATGATTAATGGCAGATCAGTTTACCCATGACTTTAATGCACATAAAAGTTAAACATCATTAACATTTTGCTGATAATATAATTAAATAAAATACTTATCAAATGCATTGACTAGAAGATTGACCTTTCTTCACTAGCTAGCATACATGAAACGATGCAGAATAGAAGCAGGAAATTCTCACATTTGTATCTATTATACTAGTATCTAATTCACAGATTGCTAAAACCCTGCATAGTTTACAAACCCAAAAGCCTAATACAGCATTCAAATTCCCAAAGATATACACTATCTTTGTCCACTGCAACAACCTAACACCATATTGATTGATTTTGATATTAGACTCATAACAACAATGCAAATGAACTCTTCTAAGTCTAAAGGGATTACAAATGAAAACTGCCAGAAAACAATAATAATCTCATCATGATGCCTATGTTACGTAGCCATATCGTGCAAGTAACATCTATTTGTAAAGAAGTATCCGGTTCAATAACCTAGATCGCTGGTAAATGAATATGTAGGATACAGCATCATGCTTACAGAAGAAACGGAAAAAAAAGGTGTCAGCCCCAATTGTTCTTTATTGCAATCACAGTGTCCAAGTCAATAAGTTAATACCAACGGTGCACCAATATGCAGAAGAATATGCTTATGACCATAGAGGCTGAAGGCATTAAACCCTACTGGGCACTATAGCAATGATATCGGGAAGGCATGTCGCAAGTACATCTACAATACATACACAATTGCTCCTAATTTCACCAAGAAGCTAGACTCTTCAATCACAAGTCTTTGAATAAAACAGAATTTGTGATTCTGCTATCTGAAGGGCATTAGGAACTCCAAACATAAATGATATAGTGCCGTGATAGTAAAAG